ATTAGTTTCTAATCTAATTTTGATAATATATTGGGAAATTACCAAAAGTTGTGTCTGGTGTAGTATGCCTTATTAGGGGGAAGAAATGAGACTTAGAGGCTATTTTGTATAACCACTAGTTTTTTTCTTTACAAGTTTCCGTCTCATTCAATTCATTCAGTGCCCCAAGCATTCTACATTGTAGTCGGACAGGAGGAGCTCAGTGTCAAACCATACTTTATAATGGATGCTGCATAAGCTTCCTTGGTTGTCGTAGAGCTATTTGGATAAACACTAAAAATGGATGAGTATGGAAACGAGACATCAGTTTTTTGAGTCCTCTTCCTCCGGATAGCCAAACGATGCTTCCATAAAATGTACTTGTAATAGCCACTTTTTAGTGTAGTACTGCGCTCCACGAAATCCATTATGTTCATTAACCGTGAATTCCATGTCCCTTGACGAGGGACTTGTGCGGCATGAATATCTTGGTTGGTTGCTTGTTTGCAGCCAATAAGTTGACCTGGCTAGATGATCCTCATTATCTCTACCTCTCTAACGTACCCATCTCCTGTCGTTTTTATGTTCATCCTACACCTTCGTTTGTCACTTATGGATACAAGCCACACGGCTTGGAGTCAAGATCACGAAGACTAGTCGAACTTACTCCACGTTTCGAAGTGATTGTTAAGTCCACTCTTATTGATTTAACTATATTCTTCGGTCTAGATATGGTTATGATCGAACCATGTCTTTGCTAACTATAGTAATTTATTGCATGTTTAGTTCCAGCTATTATCCAACATGAGAGCCAGCTTACTCCATTGATTCATGTCTTCTCTTGTAACAAAGGTCAACATTCAATCCCTAAATATATGGTTTTACAACAAATGCATAACGGCTCCAAGTCGGCATAACTATGAAAAATCCTTACGTTGGAATAAATTGTGACTGTAAGTAACCCCCCAACCCCAACTGGCCCTGCTAGTATTTTCTTAATTAAAAGCAATATGAGTCGGAAAGCTTCAGGCTCGACACATTTTGCTCGTCATGGCAACAAGCACGTAGCATCTGCCAATTATGGGGTAGTTTACCAAATAATCGATCCACTTGTAAACAACTGACCTCTGGCTTTCACGACAAGTCGATAGTCGTGAGGCCAAGTATTGGAAGGAGAGAAACAAAGTGGGCAACGCCCAATTGTACCTGAGATATAGCAGTACTTTTGTGGCTCTTCGGCCATTCAAGTGCCTATAGATGGTCCGTCAAAGCTACCGAATTAAATGCAAAAGACACACATTTACAGCTCAGTGTTAGGCTGACTTTTTACCTGGTTGACTCCGAATATGCTCACAGCATTAGTAATGAGAGCTCGCATCAGAGTCATGGCGCTGATGGTTCAGGGCGTGCACTGTTCTAAACGAAGATATGCTCTAGCATGAGCATTAGTGCTCTTATCTTCTGGTGAGGTCTATCAACGAATACTTTAATCAGACAAATAGAGCCGTTTGATGTCCTCATTTCGTATGGAAGTGTCAAATGGAAGCTGTTGTGTTTTGTCTCATCCACAGAAAGGAAATCCTCATTTTTAATCAGAATGTTTAAAGCTTCGTAAAAACGGCTTGTGTTTTCTTCTTTCAGGACAACTGTCTTCGGTTCAAAGCACAGTTTTTAGCCTAAATGTCTATTTACAAAAATGTAAAAATAAAACCATTTCTGTATCCATTTATTTTCATATTAATCCTAGAGTCGAGGTCGCCTTCGGCGTGAGCTGATGTGCATTATTTCTATTCTGTGTGTGCGAGTGCCTTAGTGCTTGGCCGTTTTGTGCGCATCTGATTTTGCCTCCATGCCTACCCACGTTCTCATGTTTACACTTGCGTGCTCACACTTGCTTGACTATGTATTCCGAATGCAACTTTAGGGACTAAGCCTAAACAAGTTAATTAAATGAGTTTTTCTATGCAGAATCTACTTTTTCCATTCGACAATGTGTATTAATCAAACGCCAATAAGTTCTAGAGTTCATTTGACCTCATTTTCTCGACTGTATCGTGTTTAAGGGAACCTTCGAAAGACGTACATCATACTGCATCTTCTGCCTTGCAGTCACAACTTAACTCCATAGACTGGGTTTATTCCAGAACTTTTCGTCAGTATCTTGCCGATAGTGGTTATGGAAGAGAATCAAACTCAGTCACCCTGGCTCCTTAAGGTGATTTAGAGGCGGATAGTTGAGTTTTCCCACTTAGTCTTTCCTCCCAAAAGGCTATCCAGTCCATACCGGACTGGACTACTGTTTCGACTTTGCCCAGGTCTGATCTGCACTCCCACGTCGTGAGTATCATAGCGAGGTTACCACTCCCTTCCACAGCCACGAGTACCAGAGGTTCACAGGATACTTGTGGCATTTAAGGCAAGTCAGGCCTTTTGGGAAGCAAGACTGATTGCATTTCATTTGTCTCATTTTGGTAAAACTTAACTATCCGTTTCTAAATTCCCTTAACTGACCTATAATGACTAAGTTGTCATTCGAGAATAACCGATAGTCTCGAAAACCGTTTACACTTGAGAAAATGTAGACAAGGGAGCCATTCTTGGCATACATCTCTGATTCTTCAGAATGGCAAATGTCGCCGGTCGCCTCTATGAACACTGTTGACCGATGATGATACTTTTCTCCAATGCCATGTTGTCTTTAATATTCCATAGTCTCTCTCACACTCACCTCCTACGGTCAAGGCCCACCTGCATTCAAGGTCTGCATCAATTTGAATGCATTTATCGTCACATTCTTGCCTTCATCGTCCGCCCAACAGACTCATCAGCCGGGCCTGTCGACCCTAACTGCTACCTGCGTTCAGCTATTCACTTACAGCAGGTTCTTTTATCTGTTTCCTATTCCAATGCTTCAGAACTACCTTTTATTGTTAAACAGGTAAACCCCCATCTCTAGGTTTAGTCAGCATATCCGTCGTAGCCGACGTCTCATTCGTACGACTGTGCACTTAATGCATAATAACACCTTCAATATCGGTTCGTGTACAAAAGTTTTATTGCAGACCATCGTTCTCTGGTTGGGTGTCTATTGAATGTCTGCCAAGAGAAAAATGCAAGTTCACGACCAGGCCTTCGGATTTATTATTCTTTTCCCCATGTGGCGCCTATACCTCTGACCTACAGTCGAGCTCTTTGTGTTCGCATATGCATCAAGTTATCCCTTTGGCTCAGCTACTTCAAGGGACTTTGTCTATTCACACATAAAAATAAATTGTTGATTCACATTTTATTATAAGTTATTTAACTGCATATAAAGAAGCTCATATGTAGGACATGATATGAGCAGAATTGTCAACCTGAACGATTTCTGAAAATTGTAGAGAATGCCAGCTTATTGAAAATAGTATTTGGGTGAGGCTCCAGGGAAACCTGTTATAACAATGGATTTAGAGGGAGATGAACTCCAGATATTCTCAGTTAAATGACGCGGTTGATAAGTTGACGCCATTCTTTGGTTCCGGTGAAAATATACTGGCCCTTCGTCTATCATAGCATTTGGCAAACATCACCAGAGCTTGACCTGATTTCCATGATAATTCCAAGTCTACTGCGAGTCAGAAAAACTAACTGGACCATTTATACATATTATATGTGCTGAAAAAATATTTTATTTTTGGAATTGCATGTTCACGTATGTGTATTTACGTTTTGGGTGTATGCACATGGATACGAAGATAGCACTGATGTCGCCTAGTAATTGAAACAATGTATAATATTTGTCCCAGATCATCATCGTTAAATGACCTATTAGTTCCAAACTCAGGGAAGTGCATCATTTCACTTGCACAATACTGGAGGTCTATCCAGGTGAGTTAATGGGGTTTCTGTATGAAACCAGATGTTTACAAAGTATGGGAATACAGAACTGCTTCGTTGAGTCGCCTTTTGTAGTTGGTTCTTTACCTTCTCTATCCTAAATTATAGCAATCAAGCGCAAGCATGAATGCACTATTTTGGAACAGCCTGATGCTGATACTGGGTCAAAATTTGCTCTAAAAGAGGGGTTACTAGAAGAAAATGTCATAGTTTCCTTAAGAACCCCATCCAAAAATAGTAAAATGTTATGCTTTTCTACTTAATTTTCCATAATATTGCTTAAACGTGGGCTACATATAAATTATAAATTTTCTAAAGTATTATAATAAACTGCAGACTAGCAAAGTAGTCATCCATATTACTAACATTCTTTGGGTCAATAAATCTTCTTTCATTAAGTGTTCCTCAAATTGTGCCATCTAATTATCTGCGAAGGAAAGTTGGGTTTGGATGAATCTCTGGAATTCGCCGCAGTCTTCTGGTAGGAGTGATCTTCGAATCTCTTCACCACACACTTTCATCACTCGAAATATAAATGAGCTCAAAATGTAACTATCCTCCAACATGGGCGCTAAGCGGCAGCTATTTGCAAGTTATTTTGTCTGCTCAGTAAATCTAGTGTATCAGGCCTATCCAAAAGAGTCGGACCGTTAGTATACAATCTTAATGATGCATCTCCCAGACACTAAAAAAGTTACTAAGTCCTGCTGACCTGGGACTGCTATTAAGCTTTATAATTACTCTAAATTGGCACTGATGACTTGTTATTCGTCTCGAGAACTATGTTAGCAAAAATAAACTGCAGAAGAACGAGGATAATCCATCGTCATGTTCTACCCTTTAATAGTATATCAAGAGACTCATTGACACCTAGTTACTCTTGTAATTCTAACGTGCCCCATAATGATGCGTACAAGATGGGGCATCTAATTTCAACCCGACTAATCTCATATAATCTCAACTCATCTCATCTCTGTCAGCATACTATCAGTCTACCCATCCCATTCACTGCTTATCATTCCAACTCGATTATTATCCTTATGGGCGGTCATTCGCAGATTATTCTCTTATTCATATAAAGTTGATTTCGAGACTATCCGTCAATCTTTAAACGAAAGTTCTAGTTACCCCAGTTTGCATACCATGATGAAAGACTGATAGGTGAATTTTCCCTTATTTAAGAATATTCACATACCCGAGAGTATTCTGGATATCGGAGCCTGGCCAAATGCGTCCTATCGTCTTCAGCTCTTTCAGTCATAACTCCTGACAAGGCTCTTTTGGCACACCTTATCATTTCCCATATCTCTTACTTCTCTAGCATCTCCATACAGCTTGTTTTCTCCCCTGCTTTCTCCTACTCCGCCTCTCACTCGTCCCTGACACTTTGAGGTCCACTGCTTTCAATGGCGCTTTTTCCTAACGATTCCAACTATAATTATTGTGAGCAGATTGGAAATTCGCTTTCTCAACCATCTACTGCTGAAACGAAGCTTTATAGGACTAATGTGAAGGCGCATTTCTCTTGAAACTCATTTCCGCTTTCTAGTGAGGCCTGGGTGAGTTCGCGAATGACATCTACTCTGGTGGAGAACGTACTTTTGAAGTGCAATGGGCCATGTGTAACTGTATATATGACACAAGGCTGAGCATAAATGATTCCCTCGACAATTTCATGTCATTAAGTCTTTCCTTTCGCATGAAAGTATGAGAAGTAAAAAGGGCCAGATGCTTAGCGCTTTTGCTAAATGGTGGGTAGTCACTCTGAAAATGCCTGTCATGGCAGGGCAGACGACAGTTTAATACGGACGGAGTCGCCAGGCGCGAAAGAAGATGAGCTGAGGGATTCTGTGCTCAACGCAACAGTCAGATCAATCTTTCTTCGGCTTCTGACGAGACCACCTCTCGGAGCTGTGCCACCCGCCTTTTCCAAGAAATGAAAAGCCTATTGACATGAAATGTGCAATTGTTTGCTTATCTGATTTGTTTTTGTTTTGTTTCCGTAGCTTGGTCAAAGTTTTTGGATCTACCCTACTTCATGGACACGTGGACTTTGGTAGCAATAACTGCTAAGAACGCCATGGTGTATTTCGATTTATCCGTCCTAAATATAGAAAGTTATCGACTTACTTAATTTACACATTCTTGTGTATTTTCTTGCTATTTTACACCGGTACATACTCGTGGGCCAAAGCACCTATCTTATACGAAATTGACTTCTTGGTCTACCCTCGGAGTGTAGCGTATTTGAGTTGTTTTGCAAAATTGTAATTTTCATGACTAGAATGCTTGGCACTTGTGCCTATCACTTCCATTTGTTTATCCTTCAAGCCAATACCCTTGAAAGTGTGACATCTTCATTGAATATGTAATCTCCTCAATTAATTTTTTCCATTGTTTGCCATGTTCTGAAAATTTACCGCTTTGTCTGGCCTCCATCAGATCACTGCTTAGAGTTCGCCTCTTGGAATATCGCTTTAGTCTATCATAAGTAATAAAAACTAAAGAGTTTTGGTCAGGTATTTGAATACACTAGGCTCAATTACTCTATTTTTCGTATATAAGTAGAGTTTCGAGACTACCAGTAAATCAGTTGTATGAGATGTATTCACTATATTTCGTTTAAGGTGATAAAAGACTGGTAGTAGAATTTTCACACAATGATATAAGTAGAGCGTACGTTTCCATTGAATTTCACATAGCCTTGCTTTCCCAAAAGGTGTTTTAATCAAGGGTTAACTGCAGTTTCGACCGCTGGGGGTGTTGATAAGCCCTATGTGAGGTAGAAACTGCAATCCACCCTGGATTAAAATACATTTTGGGAAAGCAGAGCTATGTGGATTTCGATGGAAACGTCAGCTCTACATATATCATTGTGGGAAAAATCACCTACTAACCCTTCACCATCGTAAACGAAATAGGGTGATTATATGTCAATTACTCTATTGACGAGCTCACTTCCATTTGGAGTTAAAGTGTTGGGTTCAATCAAAATCTGAATCTATGATTTCCGATATGCCTTCTTTACATGCTATCATATTTCTGAAAGTAGCCTCAATCATGCAAACTGGGGTAATTGATGCGAAAAAAAGTTTTTGTTTTGAGGAATCTCTTATTTCATAATTGTTGAGCTTACTTCCATTTTGAGTGAAAGTGTTAGGTGAAGAGATTCGCAGGTCGGTTCCACCAGAAGACGACGGCGGATTCCTCTTGACCAGCTGTCGATTGG